GGGAACATATCTACAACTTCTTCTATTGATATCATGAATATTATGGATAAAAGACAACGAAATAATGGGTCTCATGGCAAACGTATCAATCGAAATCAACGAATTAAACATCGTATAAATTATAAACTTGGTAATCTCCTAACTATATTTGAAAACAATGGTAGGCATCAATTATTATGTTAACTGGGTCAAATACCAATTAGTAAATTACATGATATTTTCAAGGAGTGTGACACCATCTCTTTCTTCAGCCCGCTGTATGAATATTCGCGTATAATTACATCTTTTTGCCACCATAGGCTGTTCCCGCGTATCGACAAACTTGAAGATCATAAACGTCATTTTCTAAAAATTAAATATATTAGCAGAGGTATTGATTTTATCAACTTATCTAGTATATTTAATGACTCTAGCGTTCAAAACTTCATACCTCCCTATTTTGATAACACAGAACCACCTATTATTTCATACACATACAAACAAAAACCAACAGAAGTTTAATTTTTAATTATACGCCGGTAACATCAGACGTCAATGTAGAAAATAATACTCCTTTAACTTGAAACTGTGAATCGTCGAAGTTAAGATATGTTCCTTATGGCCATGTTATTACGGGGGACCTCAATATCGTCCAGGACAGAGAGGTTAAAAACTTTTTGAAAAAAGGACCAAAATATCGTCCTCCATCTAAAATAGATTGGAAACAGTGTCGTCAGGTCACCAAAGATGCTTTTTCCTCGTTTTGTAAAAATTGGTATAAACGGGAAAAATCTGATAAAGCAGCCAACAATGTGGTGGTGGTATGCCGTAAATACTACACGGACGTTCTTAAGAATGAAATTTTAAATTCATCTACATTCAAGTCCATGCGCCCCACAGAGAGCCATATAGTTAACAAACATCATAACCACATCACAGCTTTAGGCCTCTTCTGAACATTTATAGGTTCCTACTATGAATTGGTTACCTACACTACACAAAAACCAGTAAAATATCGTTTCATCTCGGCCTCTAGTAAGTGTTCTACAACTAATCTTTCAGTGCTTTTAACAAGTTCCTTAACTACTATCAAAGAGCTTATCATAAACTATTGTAATAAAATATATGAAAATAGTGGAATTAACTATTTTTGGAGTGTAAAAAATTCTTCGGATGTTTAGATAAATTACGTGCTTTTGATGGTCCTTTTGATTCTGTTGACAGTTTTGACTTTTCTACTTTTTACACTACACTTCCACACAATCTTATCAAACAAAAAATTGACTATTTAATTAAAGGGTCGTTTGGAAAATCTGAATGCAAATATATTTGCTGCAATTCACTTGAAGTCTACCTCTCTAATGAGGAAGGTAAATATGCTAGATATACTTACTGGAGGTGTGATGAGATGATTGAAGCTGTTAATTTCTCCTTGATAACATTTATGTACGTTTCGGCAGCAAAGTTTATCGACAGGTTGTAGGTATTCCTATGGGCACTAATTGCGCCCCTTTAATAACAGACTTGTTTTTGTACTGTTATGAATCACAGTTTATGACCAAACTCAGTAAAGACCTGTCTAAGTTGCATTTAATTGATAAATTAAACAACGCTTACCGTTATCTTGATGATATTTTGTCGTTAAATAATCAAGAATTTCTCAATATACTGCCGAAATTTACCCTAAGGAACTTACTTTAAACAAATCAAATTTAAACGGTAACAACTGTCCTTTCCTAGATTTAGATATTTCGGTTTTACACGGGAAACTCCGCACTAAAATTTACGACAAAAGGGACGATTTTTCAACAGATATATCATTATTCAGTTGCTTATCCTTCCACAGCACCTTAGATCATCCCGGTATTTGATGCAGTTCCTGTAAATTCCTGTGGTAACTGTAATTCTGTACAAGGTAGGAAATTTTTTATATTACTATTTTATAGTTATTGTTTCCAGTATCTATCATTGATTGTTTTTTTGATAGTCTTCTGATGCTTTTTTTTTTTAAATTTATTCTTTCGTATTTCTCTTAATAGAAAGCACAACCGTCACGCATGCAATCATCGATGTTTTGAAATTGACATGTATACTTGTGATCATAGAGTGTTACTATAAATACATTTGGTAAAAACCCGTCTAATACAAGTAGTAAAATGATCACATATAGTTTTTGTTTAGTATTCCAGCAGTAACAATTAATGGAATACGGGTTAATGTTTTCGTTACATGTCTGATTTAAAGGGATATATAGTTTGTTAAACTCGTTTTTTTGTAGTCTACTTGTAGCATACCACATACACAGAACTAAAAATAACTTTGGGAAAAAAAATATATCAGCTGTTGGATGTTAACAACAACATTGAAAAATTTAACCTATTCTATATCAACAAGACATAATTTGTTCATTTTCATTATCATTCTTACGATTATCATTTTATAAACAATAAAGTATAATATTTTAGACATCACATTAAATTTGTTTCTTCAATCATTTTTACTAACATTTGAGCTTAAACATTTTTCTTTTCAAAAGTTTTGTGTATTTTTTTATATACTAAAATAAGACACATAGATAATAAAAATAACCAACAAAAATAAATATAGTTACATAGTAATAATCTAACATTGGCATTAACATTGTTTATATTTTTTAAAGTATTTTTAGTGTGATAAAAAATGTGATATTTTAAAACAACTTCAAGATTACTATGATGCTAAACACTCTGGATTACTATTATGCTTTTGCTTTCTTTGGTCCATGACTGCCACTTCTCCTATCATGAAGTGCCTCTGGTGGTGTAGGAGGTGTATGACTAGTCCTAGTACCAAGACCTCTCTGACTGTGTGGAGTTCTCACGAATCTGTCAATAGATTGCTTTGACCTTACAGCATTATCATCATTTGTTTTAATTCCACTTTTTTAGAGCCCAATTTCCCAGAGCTGGGCTTCTCTTTATTTTTACTTTGTTTTTCTCTTATAGGTTCATCTTCATTGCCCTCTGTGTATTCATCATCTTTGCTGTTTTTGTTTACTTGTTCTATACTTGTCTCATCTTGTTCATCATTGACTTCTTGTTCCATGCCATTATGGGTTTGTAGTTCTGTTGGACAGTCTATCATTTTGTGTCCACTTTTGTATTCTACAAACCCAATCATTTGGACAATTGTACCTTACATGACCTGGTTTGAGACGTTTGTGACAGATTTTGACACCTTCATAGCTCACTAAATTTGCTTTTCCCTGAAACTCGAGTTGACCTGCATGAAAAATTCTTGCTAAGGACTTCCTAATCTGAAGATTTCTTGGAATAAGTTTTTCAAGTAATTTACTGATCACTATCCTATCTCCTGTCTCACAATTTGTTATTTTTTCATCTATCCTGAGCCTTTCTCGAAAAAATTCCTGAATATTACACCCCTGTAAAGTTAAAGCACGATGAATCTGCCCATCATCCACTGAAAGAGGAACGTTTTTTTTCTCACTTTTATGCGGATCGTTTCGGGTTGTAAGTTAGATGGATTGTGAGGGTTTTGTAAATGCAAAGGAACCTGCCTGCCACGTAGGTTTATACCTTGCACTAACAGCGACAGTTTGTCTTACTCATTTTTCATGAAGATTCGCCACATTTCTCTAATGCGTTGTATGCCTTTAATACATTCCGCGGGGACATTTTCTCCGACAGCTTTATAAATTTCGACGTCGGTTACCTACATAGACCACTCTGGTTTCATAAAATCATGCACATCAGAATCTTTTAGAAATATGGGTTTTACAAAATTAATTGAAGTTGAGTTGGGTTGAATATCATTTGTATTGACTTCAGTGTCATTGTTTTGTTCTGTGTTATTATTTTTTCCAGATAGTGCTTCATTGTAGGACGCCATTTTTTCTTTGTTTTGATTTTTATTTTTGAGTTCACTGTTATATTCTGCCTCTACACCATGTAAGCCCTCAATCAACCTCTTAATTCTATCATTTGTCATTTTTCTACACAATGCTTCTACATCATCAGCCATTTTCAGTTATTTTTACCTTTAATTAACAATTTTTTTGGAGAGCTATCTTAGTTAGCCTTAGCATACCAAGGACGGCAACTCTTGCATGAACGTTCAATATCTACGACAAACCTCCAAAACAGTATCTAACAAATAAATGAAAACATAGAAGAAACAAAATGTTACATATTATGGTGACTAATCTCAAACTATAAACAATTTGAATATTTTCACTCATCTCGTATTTTACCCTCTGGGTATTTTTTACTTCCACTTGGTTTGATTGATGTATATTGAATTGCAACAGTTCAAGTGCAATGTAAACAAATGGTCGTGCAAATGAAGCACAACAGAAAGAACTAGGTACATGACCTAGAATTGCACGGGTATACTGGTACAGGAATCCAATTATTTTTGTACAGTTCGTACGATAAACGTCGAAACCGGTGTGTTATCATAAATTGAGAATACAGTAGAAACAGAATTTATCACATTGCATTTATAAAGTCCGCAATATTTCTAATGCATTCTATCCTTTCCAGTTCCGAATAGTTTTGCCTAGTCGCTTAATTCCTAGTATTTTGGTTGGTGGAATTTGCATTTGTTTAATTACTCAGAGAATCATATACATAGATCCTTTTATTATATTTCTTTCTATGACGATATTTGTTTTCGGCTTTTTTCCCTAATCGCCGCAATAAATGTAGTTCTTGTTCCATCATAAATTTACATTCTTCTACAGTTATATTAAATGAGTTATTCCAAACAGTTTCTTTGATTGTCAGTACTTCTGCAAACTGATCAATCGTTCTATTTTTACAATAAACTGAAACAGTTTCGTGCACGGATTTAAAGTTTTCAACTTCTTCATATAAATTATGGCTCGTTTTATTAAGTTGTCTCATAAACTTCTTCTCAAAATATTGATATAATCTAAAATCTGCATGATTATATTTTTGAAGGTTACTCATATCATCTGGTGATAACTTTACTTTCTTTTCCTTTTCCTTTGAGTATTTATTTATTGGTATAAATAATATATCTTTTAAATCCCAACATAAAATTCTTTTCATAAGTACAAGAGATTCGACAAAGTATTCTAAAATCATTATCAGTGAGAATTCTTTATCCAGTGATTTGAGTTTTTCATCAATAGCAGTGTCATTGTCAAAATATTTGACCGGAAGTCCAAAATCGAAGAACATCCGATTATGCATGAGATGTTCGTATATATATGGATGTTTTAAATATTTTGACAAACGTTCATTATCATTCTTTCCTGTAATTCTCTTTCTTAAGATATCAAATAAATGCCAATAATATGCTCCTGAGAGAAATAGTGAAGCTGGGTGTCGTATTATTCCAATATTTACAACACCCGGACCAAGAATTTCTGTAAATCTGTCTTTACTGTAAACTACGTGATTACATATAATGCTGTATGATTCATTTGGTGGAATAGGAATTAGTCTTTCTTTCTGTAAAACGGTATCAACACCGAGATAATTCCAAAATCTTGCATTTTGTTTTGATTTAGGAACCCTTGGTAATGCAATATTCAATCCATGAGATTCTCCATATCTTAAAAATATATTCATCACTGTAGTACTTCCTGCTTTATGAACTTTTAGAAAAGCAACAGTGTTAACTCGATCGTTACACTTATCATCATTTACATTTCTTTTTTTCATTGTCGAATTTTCATTTGTCGATTTTATTTCCTTCTGATTTGTCGCCATGGTTACTGTGTAATATAATGCCAAATGTGTTGCCAAAGTTCTTCCTGTTGTATTTTTATGTTTGAAAACTAATCCTTTAACACTGATGTCATTACATAGAAACCAAATGTTCATGAGTCCAATCAATAAAAACATTATTAACATACATCTGTAAAAAAAAAAGTGGAATTGGTTTAAATTATTGGTCAATCATTAGACAGGAAAGAGTAATTATGGTACTATATATATATCTATGCATATTAGATGCCAACTTTTCACTCAACCATACTATGTTTCATCAGATTGCCCTTTCTGTTTGACAACTTTACATTATGTTAATTAAGTTTTCAGTTGTTTTGTTTAAGGAATGTTAACATTATATGACTATGGCATGAGCTTATAAAATTGACAGGTTAATTAAGAAATGTACATCTTCCGCATTACAATAAGAAATACGTGATTTGTAAAGAGTTACCAACGCTACAAATTGCGTTTGACAGTCAGTTCTATTATTAGACTTGTTTGAAAACTAATCGATACCGACACCTTACATATTTGCCTAGGACGACACGTGACTTTTAGATTAGATGTCTTAAGGTTTACAACAATCGCAGGTAGTTACATTAACCTTATAAAATGTGATGTTTTATTATTGTATATACTATTGAAAAAAATATTTATTTATTTCAATGATATGTTCCATTTGATAACCTGTTCAGTAAAGTAAAATTGCCGGATGCTCAAAATGTTCAACATATTAAAGAAAAGAGTCAATTACAAAACAAAGAAATGTGAAGCATTTTATGCTGTGAGACATTTTTTTTCAGGAGAACAACTGACGTCAGCGATAAGCAAGTCTTCACTCATTGTAGATAATTTGTGTAATAAAACATTCGAAGGGATTCCTTTAACTTTACCATATTTGGAACTCTTGCCTCAATAGCTACGTTGTAAGCAGCACCCGCTATCAAGAAAATCACAACAGGAGTGCAAGCTCTGAAATATCGTATCAACTGAGAGATATATATTGCATATGCAGGCGCTGATAATATGTTGTAAAGTCTTGGTGAAGATATCTCGCATTTTAGTAAACAAGAAAGAGCTAGTATGCTAAGTAAATATATGTAGTTACATTGTTTGAGTGTATTATCAGACAAAAATAAAGAAGTGAAAATGCAACAGAATACACGAAACTTTAAAGTAAAATAATGAGAGAAAGAAGAGAAAAAAAAATGGAGAATAAAATATCTTTTTTAAATGAATTCAACCATTTATGAATTTAAAAGCCCCTTTGCAGTGATTCGAAACAAAAGCTAATGAACAGTCGAGCATTCAGAGTTTCATCTGCATAGGCAGTACTGAGTAGATACTCATTCTGTTGGAAAGTCATTTTTTTAAATAGCACTGGTTATTACTGATTAAATATATAATTGTACACAGTCAATTTCTTCATAATCTATTCACTAATTCCTCATCGTTATATAAATTTAGAATGACCTTTTAAAAGTATATAAAAGTCTGGTGACAGGAATATTCAAACTCATAAGTGTACGACACACTAAGCACACCATGGGAAAAAACGACCAAGGACAAACAACAGTCCACAAAACACAGCATAAAAAACTTAAGACTGAGCAACACGAATACCATCAAAAACCGGTGATCATCTAAAGTGCTCTAGGTGGGTAAAAATCATAACTTGTACTAAAGTGACAAAAGCAATCCACTAATAGTTGAATATGTTCTATTGAAGCTTGTAATACTCGCAATTGAAAAAAAATGGTATGACTTTCTTTCTTTGGGAGGAGGGGGGCTTTCAAACTTTTGATTATTCTGATAAAGACTAAGTAAAAATTACTATGTCCTATTGTTGATATGAACATAGGTTAATGATGAGTAATGGAATAATGAGGTTTTAAATTATTCTGAATTTAAGATATACTTTTAGTTACCTTGATGTAGTATTTCCACATGAACATCCCATCCCGATGAAACTATACAGCAGTGAATGAAATTGTAGTTCTTACTAGTTTCATAGCTAGATGTCATTCTAATCATTACCAAAACAGCTGTTAAACTAAATTGAAATTGATTTTTCTCTTTATTAAGAGACGAAAGTTGAAAGGGTAGATTTTATTTTCGCTCGTTATTTTTCATAGTTCGATCACAAACTCTTGATGTATTATTAAAGTGATGTATGGCTATTGATTTGTACGCTATGCCAATTGTCATACCGCAAAAAAAATACAAGGAATTCTAATTCAGCCCACATAGTGTATAGGTGATGGATAATGTCTAAAATATTATTTTAATGGAGGGAAACCTATTTTATTGTATTTCCATTTTCTTGGCAATACGTTGCCCTTTTGTGTAACTTACTCAGATAAATTACATTTAGAGCGGTTTAATTTGATATTGGGGTGGGATATCATTTCATATATATTTATAATTAACTGCAGTGTGTATATTATTCGATCTATGAGTTTGACTGTCCCTCTGGTATCTTTCGTCCCTCTTTTTTAAAGGCCTTATGTTTTAAACACATACAAATTGTTTTTGAAAATTCGTCTAATAGGCTTCAGATTTTCAAAAAACAGTTGATGTGAATTGACAGGGAGATGGTCGTGCGTCCGTATACTTTAACTTTTAAAACAGTAGTGCTTTTGTCACACATAGCTTTTGGTTCTGATTTTTGTTCTAAAAAGAGACGAATTTAAAATATTTCAGAAATGTCGCTTTTATTTGAACAAATACTACTAATTTCACAATCATTAAGCTTTTCTAAATCAATCTAAAACCCAATCATTGGCAAACATAAATTTGCTCTCCAATTTCATACTCGATTAACTTCATATTATTCAACTTGATAGCACATTCAAATGATTTTGGCACGATGTACACATGAAAGACCATTCCGTTTCAATAATATTCAATTAAAGTTGTTTGTAGAATCATTCATATCTTGTTAATATTAACCTTTGTTGATCAAAATTCATCTCGATTTTTTCTAAATAGTGAGAGCGTTTTAAAGATAGTTGTTCTTCACTTATTTCCAAAACCGATGACGATACTATTATATATATATATATTATTTCCGTGATGATGTGCAAGATTGAGGGTAAAAATTGGCAAATTTTCGCATAATCTGTATTTCCATACCTCCAAGCGTCTGTGGGTTTTGAATTGTACTGGGAAATTTTTGCATGAACCCAGACTCTAAGTAAAGAACTCACTTACACACAATGTTGACTGCTGTACCCTATTTTTGACATTTTTACCTATTATGTCGGTTTGCTTTGTTCACACATCGTTGTCAATATAATGGAACTTTATGCGACTGTCATACAAGTGAGAGGTTTAGCTTGCTATAAAACCAGGTTTAATCCATCATTTTCTACATAAGAAAATGCCTGTACCAAGTCAGGAATATGAGAGTTGTTATCCCTTCGTTTGATGTGTTCGAGCTTTTGAATTTGCCATTTACTTAGGGACTTTCCGTTTAGAATTTTCCTCAGAGTTTGGTATTTTTGTAATTTTACCTTTTACCTAAAACACGACTATTTTATTTATCATTCGAAAGGTTATTGAATTAACTTTTGCCAGGTCACCAACAAGTAAAACGGTTAGATATCCGTGTATTCAAGATCAAAGGTTTGAAAAAAGAATAAACAAAAATACCGAACTCCAAAATAAATTTATAAAGGGGGTAAGTTCGTAAAACCTGACCAAATGGATATTTTTAATTTTTGCATGAAGAAAATAACAAAAATGTTTTTCCTAACTATTGTATGGTAAGATAATTCCAAGAATATATGAGACTGTTAGAACAGAATACAATGCTAAAAATATTAAAGAACATAATGTATGATTGCCAGCGGAGACAAAATGATGTAGATGTTTAAACTATTGGTACTGTACGGCCTTCAACAATGAGCAAAATTTATACCGTATAGTTAGGGATAATAAGGTATGATAGGCCCCAAAATGAAACAAAAAACAATTCAAAATAGATAAACAAACAATCTAATTTATATATCTATATATATATACGAAAAATGAAAAACAATACTAAGGATTTTCAAAATCAGGAATAAATTACCTTAGCTGTATATGGCAAAACATTTCGGAATTTGTTGCCTCGATGCTCTTCAACTTCGTTTTTTATTTGGCCTTTGCAACTAGTCTAATTTTGAGCTTCACTACTGATGAGTCACTTTTGGACGAAACGAGCTTCTGGCATAGAAAATTTTAATCCTGGTATCTATGATGAGTTTATGGTAGATATCGACTATTTCTTATCAAACGCCAATCAATAGACCTATTGTTAACAAAAATGGAAGTTTTGATATTGCTGTTAAAACACAAATTGGGTTAGGGAACACTTGGAAAGAAGAATGTCTGTTAAAAAAATTCGATAAAGAAATTTGATGACAATATAATACTTCCACTTCATTTTAACTCTAGTGAATAGTTGTTTCATTGTCAATCAAACCACAACTCCTTATTTTTTTAAGCTTGTTGATATTAGTTACAGAACATTTTTAACAGTATCAGAGTGACATATAACAAATAAATTCATGAAACCTATTTCTATGTGTTTGACACATGTTCCTACAATCAATTTCAGTGCGTTAGACACGTGTTCCTAGAAAAAAGTAAAATCACAAAAATACTGAACTCCGAGGAAAATTAAAAAGGAAAGTCCCTCATCAAATGGCAAAATCGAAAGCTCAAACACATCAAACGAATGGATAACAAATGTCATATTCCTGACTTGGTACAGGCATTTTCTTATGTAGAAAATTGTGGATTGAACCAGGTTTTATAGCTAGCTAAACCTCTCACTTGTATGACAGTCGCATCAAATTCCATAATATTGACAACGATGCGTGAACAAAACAAACAGACACAATAGGTAAAAATGTCAAAAATAGGGGGACAGCAGTCAACATTGTGTTATCATCTTAATCACTATAAAAACAAACAAAGAAGCACAAAAAGGCATACATCAAATTTAACAT